CTTCTAATGAAGAACCCAGCTCCCCTGCTGTGTGTTTCACTGTCAGGAACTAAAACCACTCACCAAGAGTTCTGGAAGTAGTACGATCAAAGGCAGTAAAGAACTTTCATTTTTTAGCTGCTTCTATTCCTGAACCTCTCCGAGACCTAACTTTTCAAAAGCTGAAGTTCTTATTCTAAGACTCATCGCACCTCTCTGGTCCTAGCCAAGAGTTTTGCTGCCTTGGGTTGTTCTATTTTCCCAAGGTACCTTTTCTTCATGGGTCTCATCATCAACAACCTCTCCAGCACCTTAAAATAGATTTTAAACTTTGTAATATGGCTTTCCTGTGGCGCTCAGTTTCCAAGTGTTTGCTCCTGTGTAGGAACAGGTCTTGCTTAACCATTTTTATTGTTCTTGGCCACATTTCTGGGATTAAGACACTTTACAACAGGAAGAAACACAGTGGCACCTACACTAAACACACATAACCTTTTGTTGTGAATACCAAGACGCAAAGATTAAAAGCCCAGAGCCTTCAAACTCAGGCTATGTGAACAGCAATAAATTAGTGTTTTCCACAAATTTATCATTCCTACCGTGTGGGAAAACGCCAAAGTGTTTTTCACTGTATTGCACAGCAAAGGGTTTTATTTTGCAAGTGTTAATGAAACCCATCTCTCTGGCCTAAGACAGGACTTGGGTTTCTGGCACTAAGTAACCATCTGACATTTAAAGATAGCATCTGTGAGAGATCCCACTAGCCGAGAAGCCGTATAGGCAGGGGCATATCACCACCACCACCATCAGCTTCATTGTCTTCGGTATCACTGCGACCATCAAATACTTCTGGTTGTTCACCCCACCAGAATACCTACTATCGATTCACAGTAGCATCACACGGCATCCCGCCTGCTTTGAAACCTACAAAACTAGCAATTTCCACATGTGACTTATTAAAAAAGAGAAAAGACTAAAAATACAGCGAGACCGTGCTTAATTTTAAGTGTAGAAATATGAAATCTGGGGGCACCTGGGTGGCTCAGTGGGTTAAAGCCTCTGCTTTCGGCTCGGGTCATGATCCCAGGGTTTTGGGATTGAGCCCTGCATCGGGCTCTCTGCTCAGCAGGAAGCCTGCTTCCTCCTCTCTCTCTGCCTGCCTCTCTGCCTACTTGTGATCTCTGTCTGTCAAATAAATAAATAAAATCTTAAAAAAATAAAGAGAAAGAAAGAAATATGAAATCTGTGAAAATTTGAAAAGCAGTTTCTCTGCATTACTTTATCCCACAGTTCTTTATTCGTAGTTAATACAAACAAGAGGAAAAACCCCTAAGTACCACAAAAGAGAAAGTGTTTCCAGGTACTTATTTATAAAACCTGATGAACTTGCCTATTTGTTAAAGCTGTTTCAGAACATGCTATGGTTGATACAGTCTACCTTAAGTGTATGCCTAAAAGCAATTTCATTTTTCTTTAATTTTTTGAAACTTATACAGATTTTCTCTGATACATCTAAATTGGTGATAATGCCATGATTTGATGATATGCTTCTGTCTAGAACATAAGCTCTTTTCCTTGGCAGAGTATGCAACTTATCACAAAACAAACAAACAAACAAAAACAAAAACAAAAACAAAAACTGCACTGAAGACAACCTGGTAATTCGTCTATGAGTTAGTATGTCTGCAGCATCCTGAGTCCCTCTGTTTCCTTTTCAAGTAAACCGATGGGCAGCCTCTTCTCCAGAGGCTCAAGTTAGCCAGAGTCCACCATGCCCCTCCACCATACCCAAGAAGAAATACATATTATTTCACTGACTTAATTGTTATGATAGGCAGAAAAGACCTGAAAAGGCCATAACACCTGGTCCTGGATATCAAGGAGGGGACATATATCATGATCACACACAAGGACAATATTCTACATGTCCCCCTGGTCAGCAGCTGGAGGGTGGCTGGAAGTGGGGTAGGAGTTTGAGACAGAAAGAACTCACAAAGACACCACTATCATGCGAATGACATTGCTCAGCATCTTAGAAGAGTTAACAATTTTGTTAGATGCCACTGGTATTTTTTAGACATTTATTACATGCCTGCAAATAAGCAGATGTGACAGTCGTCTACTATTTTATAAGCAATAGTGGATCCTTTAGACAAATAAAACATTCCACTTCAAATCACTATCAAACAGAGAAATAACTCAGTTTCAAGTGTCCAATTCTCACCAAACCTATAAATCAGGAGTTAAAGGTTTTACAGTTGAACAAGCTGCCATCTTCGTGGTCACTTCAAAGCTTGCCCTATGTTATTATTTTATGTTACATATTTATATTCATGAAATAAACTCAAAAGAGGTACCAAAAATAATTGTGTGTGTGTGTGTGTGTGTGTGTGTGTGTGTATAACTTGTCTTTGAAAGAGTTTAGAGGATATACATATGCCTGCCTGCCTTCTTTTTAGGGAGAGAGAGAGAGTACATGAGCAGTGAGGGGGGCAGAAGGAGAGGGAGAGAGAAAATCTTAAAGAGGCCCCATGCCTAGTATGGAGCCCTTCAAGGAGCTCAATCTCATGACCCTGAGATCATGATCTGAACCAAAATCAAGATTTGGTTGCTTAACTGACTGAGCTACCCAGACACCCCAAGGATGTCCATACATTTTTTATATACCCTGACAGAACTCCTCTGAAAAGAAAGAGATAATATATTTTTAAATTTTCTCCATGTAGTTATCAATTCCTCTGAAGAGTCAGGATTCACTACAGAATATGTCTTAAAGCAAAGTAATATTAAAGTAGAGATGTGAGCAAAGAAAACACAGAATAAAAGTGACCTATATAAAGGGAAGAAAAGATAGAGGCAAACAAGGAATTAAACAGAAAACACTGTTTAAAGAGCTTCAACAGAAAAAAAAAGAAAAGAGCTTCAACAGTCCCTTTATCTATTTCTTCTTCCTATCACCTAGGAATTCACCAAAAATTGTTTACAATATACCCACACAGTTCCCCTTCAGCATCCTCAGTCCCAATGGCTCACTCTGTTCTTGCACTAAAGGACCTTGAAACCCACACATCAATATATCCTTCCTACCATCTGAAGATAGCAGTATTATTCCACTCTCGACTGAGCCCAATGTGAAAATCATCACACCAAAACCAATCATATTAGTGCTTTTAAAGAATAATATAAATTTCAAGATTAGATTACCTCATGTTTGTAGAATTTTATAGTTCGTATCATACCAGAAGAGAGATCTCATCTATACCCAGCAGCTTCTCATTGTGTATGGACTTCGTGTAACAGTATAAACTTACATCTCCCCATGTGTTGCATGTAGGACTACTGGAGGTGAAAAGCGTCACAGCAGGACAAACCTAGGTAATTAAACACACCAACTGCATGCGCTCTTGGGATACTGCCTCCATGCAGGCTTGAATTAGAGGGCAGATGATTCAGGGCAATAGTGAACCAAACCCGATAGACACCACTCCATTGACTCCATCAGTCAACTCCAAGGTAATGAACATTGTGCTGTTGCAGAAATAATTTAGATTATCTTATTCAGGGAAACTCAAAAGGGTCAGATCAACTATAAACCTAGAGAAGTGGAAGGTAGTTCTATAAGCCTCTAGGCTATGCTAATAGTAACTTACATCCGGGGCGCCTGGGTGGCTCAGTGGGTTAAGGCCTCTGCCTTCAGCTCAGGTCATGATCCCAGGGTCCTGGGATCGAGCCCCGCATCGGGCTCTCTGCTCAGCAGGAAGCCTGCTTCCTCCTCTCTCTGACTGCCTCTCTGCCTACTTGTAATCTGTCAAATAAATAAATAAAATCTTAAAAAAAAAAAATAGTAACTTACATCCTATTCACTAACCCACTTCAAAACATGACTAGGATTGTTTTTTGACTCCCAAGAAGGATATGCACACCTAATGAAGCACAGTGGAAATCCATTTTTGACCACAAAGAAAGCAAGAGAAGACCCCAACTCTACGTGGCCAACCATAAGCCAACCAACCAACCAACCAACAAACAAACAAACAAAAAAAAGGACATTATTATCATAAGTTAATGGCTCCATCTGGTTCATTGGGAATTTGGCATGTTTGGCATGTTTGTGACACTACACCAGCCCTGCTAATCAGGTGCTGTTCTTCCCACACCAAGATCATGCCACTGACATGGGGAGAGGCTTTGCTCCAGCTTGAACTCTGGAACCTTGCATTCATAGTAGAGATAGATTTGATTTAACGGTTCCCCTATTTCTCTCCTGACATCCTGTGTGAGTCAAATATTTAGGAGACAAGGAACCAAAATCTGTCCAGAGCAGCGGACAGTTACAGCACAGTCTAAAACCTGGGCCTTATGTAAGTTGATTTTCTTAACTTCAGGGCTGCTCAGGGGTGTTAATATGTTACACCGTGCGTGCATAATTAGGGAATCAGTACAGCCCACTGGCCTGTCCTCAGCAAATGCTGACCTAATTGAATGGGGTCAAAGACAGCAAACTTCTCATCTTGCTGCAGTTGGTCAGTGCTCTTGAATTTTCCCAGATGGCCAAAAGGGAACAGGCTCAGACAGTACTAAGTAGCAAATCCAAAGGTACAAAAACTCCCAAAGACCAGCAAGGCCCCAATTTGTCACAACCCTCAAATTCTTTCCTCACGTCCTTTAGCCTTCCGCCTCCAAAAACTACATCAATACATGAAGACAATATACCAAGCACCAAAAAAACCAAAAAGTATAAATGATACCACATAAATTACTGTAAAAAAAATAAACAAAAATATCTTGCCCTACTGATATTCAGAGAAGTCTAGCACCGAAAACAATATTAATAGCCCTACTAATTTATTATGACAGGTAGTTCTTAAATAATTTTAAATAATAATCTTAAATAAATAATCTTAAATAATCAAAGGGTGATCAGGATTTGCAAAGAGAAAAAAAAACTTATAGAAATGAAAGCACAGTTAATTGGGGTTTTTTTCACTGAATTTGATTACAATCCTTAGAAGTCAACCTACCTCAAGTTTAAGTAGGTCAGCATCTGCAGATTAATGATGGCCTCAGGAATGACTCTGATACAATTATGATACAGATTAAGAATTTCCAGTGATACGAAATGGCACAATTCCATTGGGACTTCGACCAGTCTGTTTTTAGATAAATCTGTGAGAAAAGGAAAGAGTATTTTGTCAATAAATCTTCAACATGACCCAGTACAATTATCCACTACCAACACTTTTTTTTCTTAACATGTTTTAAAATAAGCATAATCTAAATGTAGATGAGCATTTTCATTCCTTGTAGCTCTGTTACTCTAGGGCTGATTTCTTTTTCCTGGCATATTACCCAATTCATATGGGAAAGCAAAAATATTGCTAAAACAGTTTTATCTCTATATTAATTTGTAAATACAGGCCAGATATAGAAGAGTTACTGAATCAATATTTACTTTCCATTCTATCTAAAAATTATTTCAAAGTCATTCTCCCCTAGGCAAGCATGAAAACTGTATCCTTCAATCTTCTCTGAATACATATCTTTACCAATATTTATTTAATTCAATTTTGCTTTCATAACATATGTTGTCTCTTGGGATATTATATCCTCTGCAAACACACACACAGTAGATACTAAATAAATACTGCATTCACTGGAATAACTGGGAACCTACAACGAACAAGCCCAAGACAGATCAACTGTGTCTCTCTTAAGGACAGGCAATGTGCAGGCCACATGACCGGCCATAAAACTGGGCTCCCTTCCTCAAGTGTACCAAAGACCACAATAATGGAGGTCTACAGAGCAGTGCAAGCAAACGTTAGGGTTTAAGATACCACCATCTCAACAATAAAAAATGGAACAGTCTTTAGTGTCTAGATTTGGGAATGGCAGACATAACTGTCAAATACCGTAGAACACCAATCATGAGAAAAGAGCTACCACTGTCAAAAACAATAAGTCAACATTACTGATATCACCCTTCATCAGGAGTATGACCAGAAGTATGACCAGAAGATGTTTATTAAATATCGTGTCATATATACTTAAGGAATCACACTCCTTTAAAAAAAAAAAAAAACACAAAAAATTTAAACAGGTCAATACAATAATGAAATAGAAATCGAAGGGCTATCCTCCTGACTACTCTTCTGAGAAATAAATACATATATAATACATAAATAAATAAATACATACATAAACAAAATAAAAAAATAAATACATAAATAAACAAAGACAGACCTAGATGGCTTCAGAGGTGAATTCTCAGCAGGTGTAAAGGGACAATTCTGATAAAATTTAAACTATTCCACACAAAGTAAAAGAAGGAAAGTTTCTAAATACTTATTTAAAGAGTAAGGTATAATATTGATATCAACACCTAACAAAGAAAATACACAAAAAGAAACTACTTACGCATCTTCTACATAAATACTTACGTAAATCCTAAATTCAAAAATTAGCAAATGGAATTGAGCAGTATATGAAAAGATAAACATACTATGAGTATGAGGTGAAGGCAGATGCTTAACTCTCTGAGCTACCAGCTGCCCCTAATTGATTAACTTCAAAAAGTGAAGCCATCACAGCACAGGGACAACGAGTGGGAAGTTTGCGTTTATGATCTTAGAATGGAGAAAGTCTTCCTATGAATGGCATAACACAAGACTGATAAATTCAACACATTAAAACAGAACTTACAGCATTCTAAAACAAACAAAACTCCACCAAAAACATACATGACAATCGGGGCAGGTGAGCAGTCCTACAGTTCATAAGCCCCACAGGTTAATTTTTTATACAGTCAATGATAAGAAGTCTGGAACGCAGGAAAAAAAAAAAAAGGACAGAAGGAAGCAAGGAAGGTGGGAGAGGAAGGAAGGGAGGGCATGGAGGAAGGGAAGGAAGGAAGGAAGGAAGGAAGAAAAAAGAACGGATGGCTCACAGAAAAGGAAATATAAATGGCTCTTAAGCATATGAAAAAATGATCAACCTTACTCACATTAGAGCAATGAAAATCACAACTACATGGGAGAATACTTTTCACCCATTAGACTAGTATCAAAAAGTTTGGTGAAGGGCACCTGGGTGGCTCAGTTATTAAGCATCTGCCTTTGGCTCAGGTCATGATCCCAGGGTCCTGGGATCAAGCCCCGCATTGGGCTCCCTGCTCAGCAGGAAGCCTGCTTCTCTCTCTCCCTCTGCCCCTGCTTGTGTTCCCTCCCTGGCTGTCTCTCCCTCTGTCAAATAAATAAATAAAATCTCTAAAAAAAAAAAAAAAAAAGTTTTTTGTTTTTTTTTTTTAAGGTTTTATTTATTTGACAGACAGAGATCACAAGTAGGCAGAGAGGCAAGCAAAGAAAGAGGGGGAAGCAGGCTCCCTGCTGAGCAGAGAGCCTGATGCGGGGTTCGATCCCAGGACCCTGGGATCATGACCTGAGCTGAAGGCAGAGGCTTTAACCCACTAAGCCACCCAGGCACCCCCCGCAAAAAAGAGATTGTTGAACACATTATAATGCTGGGGAAATGGTGATGAAATGAAGAACATGTTAGCAATATCAATCAAAATTACAAATGTACATAATTCATTCAACCTAGGAATCCTTCTCATCTACAGAAAAACTCCTATGTGTACAACTGACATATTTCTTAACATGAAAGAGCAAAAGATAGGGAGCAAGTTAAACATCAGTGGAGGTCTGATTATAGATTAATATGGTATTAATAAATATAAATAAAGCTAAAATTAAATCGATAAATAAATACTAGCATAATATTAATATTTCATGTGGTAGAATGTAATATTAAACACTATACTCATAATGCAGTGCTGATACAATGCAGTCATTAAAATGAACGAAGCAGCTTTATGTGTGCTGATCTGGTACAATCTCCCAGACATGTTATAAATTTCTTTAAAAAGCCTGGCATAGAACCATGTGTATAGTATTTGTACTTTTAAATGAATATTTATAGAGTTGTAAATAGATATGGAAATACAAATATTTAGATTATCTGTAGAAGCTGCAAAAGGAACTGGTAGAAGTGGTAGTTTCTGGAGAAAGGGTTTCTTGCACAGAAGAGGGGCGTTAGAGGGAGAGCCCCCCACTGTACATCCTGCTGTACCTTTAGAAATGTGAATGCATCACTTACTTGATTTTGCATACAGAAACGGATTCAATATATAATCGGTACATGTGTTATATATATTGTATATAAATACATACATGCATATATACACATGCAGATACATGCACACACATAAACATATTCTCTACACACAGAACTTTGTTTCATTTGAAAAGAGAGCTAAGAAGCCAGAGCAAACCGTGAAGTCCCATGCTCTTATTGAAGGGAATATAGAGACAAGCTTTTCGTGAATGTTTAGAACCTCAACGGAAAACAATTTCACAAGCCTCTTGCATTCTTTCTTCCTGAAACTCTTTACTAGACAGGGCAATCTGCGTGTGCTACAATGCTGGAAATCTGCCCAGAAAATTTTATGGGCTGTTTCCTTTAGGTTAGACTCAAAGAAAAATTCTACGGAGGTTCCAGTTTACATTCAAAACTTGACTTTCCTGAAAACTGCAAGAACGAGACCACCAAGTTGAATGTTTCGATAACTGCTTTAAATAATAATAATGTTTTTATTAGTTTCAGTGTCACTCACACTTTTTTTAAACAAAAGGATATAGGGGTTTTTGTAGAAATGCTGTCATGTAAACTATAAACCTTTTAAAAGATCATGGGATAGCAAATCAACAGTAGAAACCGCTCCAATCAGAGAGCAGAAGACCAGCTCTAAATTTACAACCGCCTGAGATGTTTGCGGAAGTTACTCAACTTCCTGGGTCACTGTTTCTGAATAGGTAAAACCCGAGTACATGCAACTGGATTGATTTTAACATTCTTTTCAGATCTAAGATTTCTATGAATAAAAAGTATTCAGAATTCAAGTATTTTCTGTCAAAACAGTCAGAATCCAAGTGATTTTGTTTCCTCATGATAATCAATAGCAGCGGTTGACAAAAAAAGTTATAAAGTACAAACCCACATATAATAATTACTGGCCCATCTTTTTGACAAATTTGTCCTTTCACCGTAAAATCTATATTCTTATCAGATAATCTAATTTTAAAAAGCACTCTATTTTCAAACTTGGGGACAATGCTCCATGGTCCACTTGGAGCCTGACACAGGGCTCGATCTCGCAACCTGACCTGAAATCAAGAGTTGAGGACTTAACCAGCTGAGTCAGCCAGGTGTCCCTTTAATCCTTGTTTTTAACTGAACTGTTCTCTATTTTTTCAGGGATCCTTTTCCTGAAAGGACTCTGGCTATTCATTATAAATGAAGTTACAAGCAATCATCAGCCCTGCCTGAGCCTGCTACATTGCTAGTCACATGAACAGAGCTCCATGTCCAACTGTGAGTGAGAATTTTCCCATGCAGTGTGCTTCCCATCATCCTGCATTCGTGTTCCAGTTTCCACAAGGGAAGAAATTGATTACAGAATCTGCACACAGCTCAGACTCTTTCAATGCCTAAATAAAAAAACAGTTGCCTAAACCAGCATTGTTGAAGTTAAAACAAAGCTGAAAAATGAACCAAAAAAAAAAAAAAAAAAAAAAAAGAAAAGAAAGAGAAAAGCTCTCCTTTCTTATTTAAGCTCATTAACCATATGATGGATTATTGACTTATTTATCAACATATACTCAGGACGTGGTTTCTGGAGAAGTGAGAAACACAGAGGCTTACTTTTAAGGAATTTATTATTTGAAAAATGAGATGAAGCAAACCCAGAATGAACTATAAGGTAAGATGTTCTACTTGTGCTGAAAAGGGAAAAGGTACATATAAGGAGCTGAAAGCCAGGTGGGTAAATCACATTACCATCCATTAGGCCTGTCTTTTGTGCCGCACACTGTATCTGGAGTTTTGCATCTGGTACCTCATTTAAACCACCCCAAGGAGGTGTGACCCCACCATCTGAAGAAACGAGACTCAGAAAGCCTGCGTGACCTGCCCAGAGCCACAGAGATAAGCAGTTACACTCACATCTAAGGACATCTAACTATAGGACCTGACAGAGTTCCTCGCATGAGACCACTCTTTCTCCACAGAACAATGCCAGCAAGACCATGATGTGTCCCTCAGCAAGATTA